CCTTTTTTGGTCACTGCTGCTGAAGGGACAGGTGGATACACAGGCACTGTGGGTGTCCTGTGCAGGGCCAGGAGCTGGACTCGATGATCCTTGTGGGTCCTTCCACCTCTGATCCTATAATAGCATTACCTCAGGTGTCAGAGGAGAGGTGTTCCCATTAATCAAACAGCAGAGCAGAAATCCCTGCGATACAGCCCAAATTCCAAGCCAGGACTCTTGAGCAGCTTTGCTAATTCCTGCAACTGGGCAGTGACAGACACGATTCCCGCTGGGAATAGAACAGAACTGTCCTTAAACTTTGACACTGGAATAAGGTGGCAGTCCCCGCAGGATGGGAAGGTCTCCCTGCCATGCAGGCGCTGACCACCAGCTGTCCCCATCGCCTCACTGCAGGCAGGCAGCGAAACCGCCTGGAAAGCGGCGCTGCCTTCGGACAACTCCAATGGAAAGCTCGGGAAAAGCACCCCGAGCCGCTGCAGCTCTGGGGGTCTGCAGGCAGCTCATGGGACACGCAGCAGCAGGGCTGTCATCAGCACAGCGTGCGGGGACAGCGGGGACACAACGACACAACCTGAGCACAGCTGACAGAGCAGCTCTGCGGGCGCGTTCGGGTGGCAGGAGGGCAACAGCAGGGTGTGCTGGAGCACTGCAGAGTTCCTGCCGCTCTCTGACACAGCCAGCACCCGCGGGATCCGAGAAAACCTCCCGCAGAGGTGTCTGCACAACCAGTGTCTCTGGGGGACACCTCCCAGCCTCAGAAACTGTTCCAGCTCAGGACTGGAGAAATGCACCCCAGAGGGGCCCCGGGGAGAAGCTGGTTCAAGCTCATCTGAGGACAATAAAGTTCTTTCCTCTCTTGAGAATTCAGGATAATTGCTCATTTCCATTCAACTTTTGGCTTCTCAACGTGAGCCCAGAACACAGAACTGTCACTATATTTGTTAGATCCACAAGATGTTGGACTTGGTCTGTTCACAAATCAACTTGGAGAAATCTGATTTCATATTGATATTGTTGGGGATTTATCATGTAAGAGATGCCATTAAGAAAGAAGAATAACATTTTACAAGGCAATTAATTCCACCTTATTTGCTTTTCTGGCCTTAATGTTGCTACTTACAAAAGAATGATGAAAGGATGCATGTGCTTAATAAAATGTAGATTATGGATTTGGATGCAAAGAGGAGAAGGGTAGGAAAGGCTGAGATTGTTATATCCTTCAAAAATATAGTTATAGGGAAAACATACTCAGGAAAGAGAGATTCCTGCTTTGTTTGTCCAGGCTCTGCTCTGGAGGGACCTCTCTCCACTGGGCCACTGTCATTCCTGCATGTCAGATGATAACACCCTAAACCAAAATGTATGCAGAGAGCTTTATCCAGAACAGTGAAATGAAACTCAGAAGTGTCAGTGCAGAATTATTGCCAAAAGAAGATATGAAGTAAAAAGTTTCACCAAGTTGGTGTAAGGAAGAGTTCAGAAATCCAACTGTATGGGCAGTTTTCTTTCAAATGGGTTAAAGTCCCGAAACAAAACTCCTCTCCCTTTGAAATCTCCAATTCAGTGCCAAACTCTGAACTTTGCTGTTTGCAGCACCAGTGCCCACAGAAACCCCGGGCACCTGCTGTGCCACAGGCTCCCTCCTGAAGGCCTGTGGGGAGGGAACTGGGCTTTCTCACCCAGAAATGCAGTGTATGGGTGTATTCCAACAGACTTTCAGCTTTAGCCACCAGAACAAGTAGCTCCAACCACTGTACACACGAGGTTCTGTGTACAAACACTTTACAGATGTAATAACAGACTGGACAAACTTCAGGGGTTGTGGGTTTTTTGACTGCAGGATGGCAGATTTATGAAGGACTGCTCTTCCCAACGGGACACCATAGTCCTCCTAGAAAGTATGAAAAGCAACCCAAATCCCAATTCCTTTACACTTTGTGCTTGAGCAGTTTTGAAAATGTTTTATTTTAAATGCAATATATCAGCATGTGATTATCCACACAGCCCCAGCAGGTGAAGAACACTTGGGGACTGTGGTTTAATTAATAGGTTAGATTTAAATGGTATAGAGTAGAAAAACTTGGACTAAGCAAACCCAAAATACAGCCCTGCTGAAATCACACCAACTTAGGGTACTGGGGAAGCAAAACGGGGGAAGTTACCTGCTTAAGGCACAGCATGTGGCCAGAGGGGTAAGGTATTGTCACTTTAACGATCACAGACTGTAAAGCACTTTCTTTAGGCAGCACAGAGCGAGGAAAAGAGTCTCCTCCGTGTCATTATATATCTGTATCAGCTGAAAGCATCAGAAGCTGGTTTTGTGTCATTTTTCTAATCCATATGAATAATCACTACCTTCAGCAGCTTCTTGAGCCAAGTCATACCGTCATGAAAAAACGGCTCAAGATGTCTCTCAGGTGACAATGGGCAGAGAATGAATCCCTGCCTCCAGCCTGGTGGAGCCAACATTCCTGAGCACCCAAAGGTGCAGGGAGCCCCAGCCCCTCCGCAGAGCCCGTGCCCTGGGGCAGCAGATACAGAAAGCCTGCAGGGACACTTTGGCCGAATGAACATCATGAGAACCTTTTCCAAACAGCTGCGGGGCCACTGCTAATGCTGCTGAAAAGGAGCAGGGGCTGCCTCTTCCTCTGGCTGATTTATTGTACACCTGCATCGGGACAGGCACTGAAATGCCGACAAGGACAATTTCCAGCCGTTCTGAAGAGGAGGATAGGAAACGAAATCAGGTGACAACAGAAAGCTGTAAAGCATCTTTCTTTGTAACTGTTTCAATGCAGGCTAAACTGGAGAGCTACTCAGCGCACCACAGTGCTCTGAGTGATTGGGAAAGGGAGGGAAACATGGACTAAAAAATCAAACGCTGAAATCACACTGTGCTGGTAACTGCAGACGCTTGTCTAGAGACACCTCATTCCTCATTAATGGCTGATTTATTTTGCTGCTGCAGGAGAATTGGGCAGTTCAGATCCGTGACACACTGAGCAGTGACTTCCCTGGATTTGGGGAGGCTGTACCAGCAGCTCTGCTTGGCCATTCCGAGTGACCAACTGGCACAAAAGTGTGAATTGCAACCCAAAAAGCTCACATATGCAAGCAGAAGAAACCATTTCTGCCAACTTCCCTCACTAATGATTTTTAAAATACCTTCCAGCAATTACACCAGCAAAACATCGGCCTCCGAAAACTCAAGATGCAAAGAGGCACAAGTTATAGCAAAGTGCACAGGAGGAAAATCTCAAATACTCGGAGGAGGCGGCTGTGCTTCAGCACCCAGCTCTGGAATTCTCAGTCAGAAAAGCCTTTTCCCCCACTCATGTTGTGAATTCAGCCTGAGGACACCTTTCTCTCACTAAAGGAAACATCGGCGTTGTCAGGTGTGCAAAGTGATTCTCTCCTCCTGAGAACCTCTAAGTTTAAACGGCGTTAAAGTGCAAAAGACTCTCAGAGAAAAAATACACCTCTGAACAAAGAAAAAAACTCATTATACTTTGCACCTGTTTAAGGCAAAAATCCCTTTAACAAGTTGGATCATTAATAAAGGTGCAATTAAGTATCACATCATTAAAGGAACAGGAATGAAAACAGGGTGAAGTCCCATTAAGAGACAATGCTGAGGTATCTATCTCATTTAAAAAAAAAGAAATCCACACTTTCTCTCCTTGCTCCTGGTTACAGATGATCTCGTAGGGATTTGTTACTTACATAAGATTGCTCCTGAAAGTTAGAAACTGCTTTTGTGAGCTAAAAAGCTCTAATTTGTTCCCATCTTTCTAAGAAAAGGTGTTACTTGTTGTGAACAAGCACAGCAATGAGAACAGAAAAACCTTCAGGGGAAGCTACCACTCATTTCAATATCACAAACAAGACACGAGCACAGGCAAAGTGACAAATTTTGCATTCTCTCAATAACAGATTCTCTTTCTGTTACCACTGTAAGTTAGAACCGAGGAACTTCAATCACCGCGGCAAGCAGCCAGCTCATGAATAGGCTCGCTAACATCAACAAGACTATTCGTATGAACAAATGCTCAAAACGGCTACGAGACTTCTTGTCTATCCTTTGTAATGTTAAAATCAGCAGGACGACTGCGGTTTTTAAGTGCTCTCCCACACGGACCAAGAGCTGAAGTCAAGAAGAGTGTTCATGTGAGAAACGATGGACGAGCTGCAGTTACAGACTGACCCGGTCCTTAGGGTTTAGTTTAAAACAATAATACAGCAGGCTCTGACAGAACTGAAACCAGGCTTTAGGTGACTATCAGCTGGTGCCTGAGGTTAGATTCTGGCACCCATAGCTCAAGAGAAACGCTGCTTTCCTGTCTCAGCAGTTACGGGTAGCTGTGGACACAGCTCTGCCTGAAGACCACGAGACTTCAAACTACTTTCTGAAAGTACAGAACGCGGCTGGCAACCCATAGAGGGCTGTGAGAAAGGAAGCACTGGAACTCGCAGCAAGGTGGGGTTGCCTGCATGGGCAGCCCTTCATTTGAATGCAAATGTAATTTTGGGGCAGGCAGTTATCTGTGACATCAGGCAGGGCCTTAGTAAACTGTTACCACCAGCACCTGGTAAAACCATTGTTAATCATGTGTAGTAAAGGGACATCAGGGCTAGCCTGAGTCATTTATAGAGCCAGGCTGGGCTAGAAAAGAGAGAAAGAAAGAGGAGGGGAAGGGAGATCAAACGAGCCCTGCGAGGAGCAGGATGTCCCGGCGGGCCGGAGCCGGGCTGTGAGCACCATGTACGTGAGCTACCTCTTGGAGCAGGACAGCACCATGTACCCGGGCTCGGCCAGGTGCGCCGCCAACACCCTGCCAGGGCAGGGCTTCGTGTCCGCCCCCCCCTACCCCGAGTACATGGGCTACCACCCCGTGCCAGCCCTGGACACCCACGGGCAGCCGCCGGGGCCCTGGGGCTCCCACTACGGCCCGCAGAGGGAGGACTGGAACGCGTACGGGCCGGGCCCCTCCGGCGCCGCCACCGCCCAGCTCAGCGCCTCGTCCCCCGCGCAGGGCTCCTACAGCCCTGCCGAGTACAGCGCCCTGCAGCCCGGGGCCAACCCTCCCGCAGAGCCCAGCAGTGCCCAGCACATCTCCCCCAGCAGCCACAGGCACAGCTCCTACGAGTGGATGAGGAAAACCGTGCAAGCCACGTCCACAGGTACGATCGAGGGCACTGGGGGATGCCGAGGAGGGCTCGCTCGCTGCGGGGTTTGCCGGGTTCCCGTTCAGAGGGAGCCACGCAGATTAACACAGGTCCTTATTGCTCTGAGGGGTCCTCTTGCTGAATATTGGGTGAATTACTCAATCAGTTGGCTGTTTCTTATGTTTCTTCCTTGACCTTTAACGCTGCGGGAAATGAAAAGCAGTGGCCTTCCACTTGTCAAACTTCAGATGTGTTTTAAAAGTCTGTGATATCAAATAATTGTTTTTAATAGGAGATTATAGATGGGAATAGATTCCTCCTATAGATGGGAATGAAACAGCATGTCTGCAGAAAGGGATCATGATGCAACTACTGGATTTCAGCACCACCCATGCTTTGCTGACTTCCCTCAGGTTTTGGAGTACTTATGGAAAGTTCAAGTGAAACATGTACAGCAGGGGGGTGGTAACAAGGCTTTGTACCAGAAACAGCCTCTCTAAACCTCAGAGCACTGAAATGAAACCTGCCAGATGGAGCAATGAGTCCATGCTTTAAAAACAGGGATGAGAAGGAAAGGCTGGCTTCATTTGGGAGTAGCAGCTCTCAGAATGTGCAGGAATACAAAGATCCACGGGGACACAATCAGCTACTGCAGCCACAGATCAGTCTCTGATGTGCAACAGTCAATGAGTACAATCCTTCAATCGTATTTAACCAGGAAAAGTTAGCCATGGCCATGAGGGAAAGGTCCTGTTCAGTTGGGATGAGGAACAAGAGAACAAAAGATAACTACTGAGCACCCCTAAAAAAACCTGTACCTGCTATTATATGAAAAAAAATATGAAACAAGAAAGGGGAGAAGGATAAGAAAACGAGGGGAAAGTGCCTGAAAAGCACAGAGGCACAGTCTGCTGCATGGAAGTATTTGATCCTCCAAAGTGCTGAGCAGCTGTGCCATGCCCTGAGATCAGTAGAAATTAAGGATGCTCAGTTCCTCCCCTCCAGAGATGCTCCCAGTATTCCAGTGTTCCATCCCAGGAAGGTCCCTTCCCTTTCACCCTCCCTCCAGCCCCAGCTCTGCTCCACACATGCCTGTAAATAATAGTCTGCAAAGCAAGTACTGAATCTATCTCTGGTGGAAAAGCCATTACTGAAAACATAAGTTAGAGAAATGAAAGCAACTGTCTAGAAAAATAGTCTCTATTAAAATAATGCCTCTAATTTATATGTCTGGACAGAGCCATTCTCACTCCTGCTGAACACGACTTGAGTTCACAGAGAGTCCACAGAAGTCAGTAGGACAATCAGAATAGGTTGTTACTTCAGGAGAATAAGAAATAGTTTTTTGGGAAAAAAAAAAAAAAAAAGGCAAGTGATTTGAAATTGTATTTTTTCTTCACTGAACACAAGACAAAACTAAAGAGGGCCTGTTTGGAAAAAACTTACAGCCTGCTTTTGGGTAGTCCCTCCAAGGGCAGTGAAATGTCTCATTAACTGTCTGATTTACAGATAGCACAACGTTTGGTGAAATAATCCACTGCTCATCTCTTCTCTCCCCACTGCCTTATGCTCCTGTGGGTTCCAGCTGCAGCTTTGAGAGCAAGACCTGATTTGTTCTGGCTGTGTGTCCTTTGACAGTGGGGACACTGTGAGGCACACTGATATTTTATACATGTTATAGACAATGCCACATTCCAACTACCTGCCCAAGCAGCACACTTAGAACTTTCTCACTTTTCAGATTTCAAGTCTGCAAGGGTCAGAGCATTCCCAGGAGGAGCTGGCAGTGTGTCCATCCTGGAATGGTCTAACATCAGTATCCCAAATGCCCATGGGCCATGTAAGGCCCTCTGAAGCTGGTGGGGGCCTGGCCATTCATTTGATAGCTGTTGGGTCCTGCTGCAGGGAGAAAACCAGACTGGCACTTCTATTTGCTGCTTCTTTCCCTCTTATCTGTATTTTTCTCTGCTAGGCCAGGAAGGCTCTGTGCCAATAGATTTGTTTCAATGGAGTTGCTTTCACTCTTTTTCCTCTGTTTAAAAGCAAGGGCACCATTGTTCTTCACAGTTTTCCAAAAAATAGAAGCATATTTTCCCTTCCAGCAATGTCAGCTGTGGAATGTCACACTCTGAGCTTGGCTCTGTGCACGCAGGTGTTGCAGGTGACCTCAGGTGTGTGACCAGGCCAGCTGCAAGGACCAGTGCTGCCTGCTGGCTCTTCCTGGATTGAATCCATTGCTTTTTCCGTCCTTAAAGCTGTCTGTGTACACTGAGCATTATCCTTCTGTCTCTTTGCAAAGCTTTAGGAATTTCAGTAGAGCGAGTGTAGGCAGGAGTCAAGGAATCCCAGCTCTCCTTTATCAGCTTTCCTCATTCCCTGTGCAATAGATATGACCCATTGTTCTTACAGATGAGGAAACAGGCTCACCTGAGGTGATCAGCACAGAAATTACCTAGACGAGTTAATTTTATTATTTCTTCATTACACTAATTATCAATATTATTGCACTGTGGAAACAATAGCTATTAAGGCAAGTGATATTTGCCAGATATTCTTGGAAGTGGGCAAGAAGTGTTCCTGTGATCTTCTCCCTTTAAGAGTGGGAGAGATTCATTCCAAAGGTTGGTTACTTTGAGTCCTGTGACTTGTAGCAGCTGCAGGAACAAGGCCCTGGCTCTGTGGCATTTCCAGCTCCAGAGATTCCATGGTCAGCTTCTTTTCCTGGTGCTTTGCGGCCTCGTGTCCAGACAGATGACAAACAGAGCACCTCATTCCAATTCCTCCCACTGCCTCGCGTCCTCCAGGCCCTTTGACACCCTGGTACCTGCACAGCTAACCTGCAACTGAGGCAGAAAGGATGTCAAGGCTGACTCTGTAACTTTCAAAACAACATCCAACATCAATTGAAGACACCATGTCTTCAGCTGGTACTAAATGAAGCTTATGAGGCTTTTCTCCATGAAATCTCTGGAAGATCTCAGGATTTAATGTGAGACCATCACCCTGTTTGGTGCTACTGAAGTGCATTTCTTGCAGAAAAGACCTACTGAGGCTTTCAGGCATCATTCTCTCCCTGACTGAAGGATGTCTGAGTGTCTGTCCCTGCGGCTTTGGAGCTGGAAGGACTGGGACCTGATCCTAAATTCAGTGCACACAGGGTTCAATGTCCTGTCACTGCACTGGGAGGGTGTCCAGGACACAGGAGAGAGCAAACGTGTACTCAGGACTCCTGAAAGAGGAAACACTGACTAATAAACTAATTAGTATTTTCAACCATGAACACTTATAGAAAAGACCCCTCTCTAACCCTTCCACTGCTCCTGCTCCCTGTCCTCAACCCCCTACTTAGAGAAGGCAGCACAGCCAAGGAGCAACTGTAACCTGGAACAGAACAAAGCCACAGCTCCAGATCTGAGGTGGCAATTCCACACACACACACACCACATCATTACAGCAAATTCTCTGGCAGAAAGCAGAATAAACCCACCTCAGAACAAGGTCCTAATCTCCTCCTGTTGATTCCAACATTGCTATGGAGTTGTGTCATCACTCCCACAGGAGCAGACTTGGCTTTCTGGCTCCAAGTGTGCCCAAAGCGCTGAGGGTGAGCAGGGAATTCCCAGGCAGTGCCAGCCAAGCAGAGTTTGCTCTGAAGCTGAAAGTACATCTTAAGATCTGCACTAATGTTACCATAAAACAGGGAGGGAACAAGTTTTGAAGAAGGGGAATAATTATGAGCAGAGCCTTCTCCTGTAGATGACAGCTCTCCTCCTGCCATTCTTCTTCAACTGAAGTTTACCCTGAAGACATAAGGGTAATTTTTTCTGCTGCTGCTGAGGGTGCTGAGAGCATCAGGACCGAATGCACTGTAAATGTGCATTTAGTTTCTGAAGGAAGAAGTTACATCCCCTCAAATCTAAGGAAAGGGAACCAGCCTCTTAAGAAGCCATTCCTGCAAAATGGAGTTAAACTCGATGATCCTTGTGAGTCCCTTCCAACTCAGCAGATTGTGTGATCCTGTGAAAATGCTGAATGCCTAAAGAACACAGAACACTTGGAAAGGAAATTCAGTTGCTCACTTGCCTTTTAGTCTGTAGAGTCACTGGCAGTGGGGTTTCCCCTGATTTGCCACTCAGAAATGCCCCTCCACTTTCTGCAGGTTGTGTCTGTCTGCAAACAGGACCCACACAGGGCAGCCTGTCCATTTATCCCCATTAAAGGGGATAAAAATGGCTCTGCTTTGGACTCACTTCTGTAGGACGAAGAGTATTAGAAAAGTTTACACTGGCAAGGGGAAGGACAGAATTTGGCCAGTGAGTTTTATTTCAGAGTAGCAGAACATGCTCAAAATTGGAAACAGAGAGGGAACTTCAAGTCTGTTGAAAGGTTCCAATCCTATGATCCTGCTCTGTTCTTTTCAGCACCAATAACCTGAACATGCATGACAAGAACAAATGAACAGGACACAGCAGAAAATGCAAACAGAGAATTCCACCACGTTTCCCAACCCTTCCTGCAGTTAACTTTGCAGCAATGCCTGGGACCAGGACACCTCCTCAGCACACCAAGATTTCTGGCAGCAATATCATACTCACATTACACAGGACTGGATCCATGGAACATTTTCTAATACAGTGGCAGTGTGGGTTTGGGGGTTTTATTAATTTAACTTTAGGAACATCATGTGCAGCACAATGTCTGCCTTCAAAACTTACTTGAAATTATTTTTGCTTCACAACTTCAACCGAGGCAGTGAAATGACACTGGGGAGAATCTGCCCCTTAGTGTTCCTAAACTTTGAAAGTACATAAAGGGTTAGGGATAGCCCTAAACAAATCCCTGGGCCCTGATCTCTGACAGTCCATACCTTTATAAGCTCAAAAATTCACATTTGTTTTTTAACATTAAGCTAACAGAGAGGTGCAGGTTTGAGCTGAGCCCATTCCCCATTTCCAGCTGATTTAAGGGAACTCCAGCCACCAAGCACAGACATTACTTCCCCTGAAACAAAGCCCTGGAAGCCAGGCTGTAACCCCACTGCAATCCCACACTGTTCTGTACTGGGCAGCCCCTGGACTTTATGAACGCTGCTGCTTTCAGTAGATGAAGAATATTCCTGAAAAGTTAAGAGAGGAGGCTCTGAAAGAGGAGCCAGGGCTGGTTCTAATGCTAATTTATTTTACTTTGTAAACTAGTTGTGAGGTCCGATGGTGGTTGGGTTTTTTTTTTCCTTTCCTGGGCTACATTGTCTGAGGTTTTGAGGCCTATCTGTCATATTGAGGCAGCAGACCCTTTTAACACTTCACTTTGCTTTGATATGCAGCCTTGGCTCTTCCTTCTCCCTCCTTTCTTCAGGAGTTATATTGCCGGAAAGGGTGATGATTTTCACAGCAAATAAAGAGGCCTTCTCCCAGCTTTATTGTCTTCAGAAGAAATGCTCTGTGAATTTTATGACCAATGGGAAAGCTGTTCCCTTCCCCCAGCTCAAAACTTGGCCAGTCACAAAAAATTGCCATGGTGGGTGTGATAGAGCAGGATTGTTAAACTATATCTTATTAAAAGCCTTCTGAGTCTGAAATGTCTTATTTTTTGCTGGTCCAAAGGCACTTCTCAGTAGTCAGAGGTTTTGGACAAAACTCCCTCTCCTTAACCAGCTCATTAAAGCCAGGAAATCCACTCCCCCCAGACAAAGGCAGGCAGACTGCAAAGGTAGTTTCTTCAAAGCTCTTTTGTTTCACTTCTCCTCCACCCACACTAATAACCTCTGCAACCACTGGCAATTCCACAGGATAATTGTCCATGGCAGAAGATATTTCCAATGGAACTGACACCATATTGCTGACTGTGATTTTAACCTGGCATCAACAAAATGTTCATTATGATCCTACAAACCTAAATGTTTGCAGCTTCACCCACCCAAGTGAGATTTGACTAAAGAATTGGATCAACACAATAACTTTTATCATTGCATCATTAAACTCTGCCATTACCTCCTAAAGAAGTCTGAGAAGTGAAGAACATCCTTCTGCTGTCTCTGGAGTGAATCCATCAGTCCTCCCTCAAACTTTCCTCAGTTCACAGCTCTCCTTGCAATGAAAGGCATCCCTGGAAATAAACCCATGGAAGGGCTGCCAGTTTGACTCAGGAGGCTCTGGAGGGGATCCATTTCATCCAGCAGATGGAATGGAGAGGCTGAAGTCCCAAACTGTTCAGGGATAGGTTCTGATGCTGCTATTTGTTAACTCTGGCAAATAAAAGTGTACTTCGCCTTGGAAAGGAAATGCCTTGTGCAGACTAAGCCAGCCCAGCACCCACCAGAGGCCTCAGGGGGACTCTCAGTGCCCTCCATGCCCAACAGACTAAACCAGGGCTTGGCCACAACTGGAAGTGTCTTCTCAGGACACCCTGGCAGATCTCAGCTCCCACTGCCTGCTGTCTCTCACGCGGGGTATTATCTAAACAAACAAACAAAACCCCCAAATTATTAAAGACAAGATTTATGTGACAAATCAGAGAATTTTTCTCGGAATATTTCTCAGAATATCCTTCCTTTTGCTTTTCTACTTTTTATTTTCTTAACTTACTTTAAAGAAAGAAACTTCCTTCAAAAAGAAACTAGATATTATAATTTCTACTAAAAAAATCCTTGAGAGCTACTAATATGAAAATAAAAGACTTTAAGGGAGAAAGTTCTGTTTTCCTTGTACATTTAGTTTCTTCTTCAGTTTAAAAAGAAATAAAACAACCCCACGACACCCTCCTACTCAGATAATAAGGGTTTAAGTACTTAAAACCAGAAACAGGAAGGTTTATCTTGACGTTTACCACCTTGTTTTGGCAATAGAAGAACATTTGATATTTGTCTGTGGCTTCTGAATGAGAATAGAGGTCAAGATAAGATCACCTTGTTGCTCTTTTGTGTACTCCATCTTAACAACACAAAGGACACTAAGGAAACATGTTAAACATTTTGTCCCATAGAATGACCCCAAATTCTCATTTGAAGAGGGGAAAAAAAAAAACCAAAAACGAACCAAACCAGCAGCTCGAGAGATCAAAAGCTAAAAAATATCAAGTGAGGCATTAAAGCACTGCAGGTGACCATATGTTAAACAAACAATTTACACTTGGAGTGAACGAAAACAAATGTCCTGGGATTTATGTGGACTGAACGGAGTAACTGCTGCTCCTTAGAGACTCTAAAATTCTTACCTTAATGCTATAAAATTAGCAGCACTTTTCACTTGATTATCGGTGTAAAGGTAATTGGGCTAATCCCGCTTTCACTGCAGCTTTGCAGTGACAGAAATGCCGCTGGAACGAGTGCCGTGTGTATCGTCGCCAGCCCAGCAGAGCCTTCCCGGGGAAGGCAGCAGGGACGCAAAGTGGTTGGGCTGCTCGGATCCAGCAGAGCCCGCAGCGCAAGGACAAGCACAGCCCTGTTTCCCCCCCGAAATACTCCGGTGATGGGCTGATGGCCCTCAGGAGGGTGGGCAGTGCCCGCAGCCCTGGAAAGGCACCAGTAATGACCGGTGCTCTGCCAGGGGCAGCGCGGGAGCTGAACGACCAAATTCTGATGTTCTACAAGCCTGGAGAGAGTCCCGGAGAAAGCCTGTCCTCAGGGGAATCACAACCACCCCCAGGCAATGTGGAACAGTGTTCATTTACAGCGTGGCACTGCCCAGGGCTTCCTGTGCTCAACCACTGGATCTCTGCAAACAGCACAAAGAGCAGCAGAGCATGAGGACCCTTCCAGGGCAAGCCGTGGGTGGGGAGCCAAAACTCCCTCCAAGTAGCAAAGTACTGACTGTCTAATGCTAAAAAATACAGAAGCGATGTGGCTCTCAGTCATGACCATCCAGAGAGCACAGCAAGTGGAAGGCAATGCTGATTTTAAATGTGCTGAGCCATTAAAACCAATGAGACATCACATCTCCCTCCAGAGATAGGGGAAAACGTTATCCCAAAGCATGATTAGGGGATAGAGCACTCCAAGACTCTGCTGTAGCTCTGCACCCTGAATTCTGAACTCTGGGTGCCACTTCGACTTCAAAAGCAAGGGTGGGGGGCTGGGGAAGAAGGAGGCCTTTAGCACTGCTGATGGATGGCCCTGCAGCTCCTCTCTCCTGCCAGGGAAGATGGTTGCTCTGGGCCACGTGCCTTTGGGATCTACTCAGAGACTGACATTTTACCAACTCAGTGCCTCAGAATTTATTTCAGTCCGTTCAAAATTAACTGCTCTTAGCAGGGAGCATTTATTAGGGGGTTGTGGAAACTCTTTTTTGAGGAGTTAGACATCCACATAATGCCTTCAGAAGAAGCGCTGTGAGCTCACAGGAGCTGCTGTGTGAAGCCACCCGGGGTGTGCAGCAATAGAGGCAGAAGGCACAGGATACCTCCAGTTCAGTGCATCATCTGAAACAACCTGCACCTACTGCAGGGACTGCTGGGGACCCAGTTCACAACCCCCAGCACCACAGTGGAACACAGGGCAAAAAAACACCTACTGGAAGTGCATTCCCTGTCCCAGACAATTGACAGCCTAAACCTGTCCATGTGGAGGAATGGCCCTACAGAGACAGACAGACAAGCAAGCACCAAAAACTGGTCAGGCTGTGGTTGGCAGAGATGGTAACACTGGTCCCAACACACCCATGATCCAGTCTGTTAAATAAGTGGATGACCTCAGGCCTTGGCTTTGAGCAGGTGCTGATCTCCAATCCATTGACTGCCTGATGTGAGCTTAACCACAGGGGAAAGGGGGGTGAGAAAGGAAGCACCAGCAGCCTCTCCCATCCTCAGCTACACATCCTGTCCTCAGCAATTCCCCTCCATGGAATCCATAAACGTGCAGGGCCTCGCATCTGTGTTCCCTGATGTCATTTCCATTGCCTTTTAATGGCCTGGCCACTGCTGAGCCCAGGCTGCTCCACTCAGCCCCACTCAGCTGAGCAGAGGCAGCAGTGCTGCCTGCAGGAGAGCAGATGCTGCACCTCTCTGCCCATTGTGAGGGATTATTGCTTTCCTTTTCTCTTCTTTATTAACTGTCATCTGAAAGATCTACATTACTGCTCCCTGTGCTGTTATCAGGTTGTGGACAGACTGTGCCAGACCTTGAGGGAAAACACAGTCTCCAAGCTGCAGTAACAACCACAGTGTGGTAGGAATTTTTCCAGCAACAAGAAGTGAGGAACTTTGGAAGCTCTCAGTATTTTGTGTGCAGTCAAATGTCCTTCCCAGTCACTGCAGCAGGTGGAGTGTTTGGGCTCCAGGACAGAGAAACAAGAGCAGTGTACCCTCGGGCAGGAAGCTTGGATCAGAGCTGGGAACAGAACCCAGCTTTCCTGGTTCCTTCTTCTTCACAAGAACACCTTCCCTTTCCCAAATGATAACACAGGGGTGGTAAAGAGCATAAGAAGCAGTTTATCATCTATTTACTAAGGAGCAAACCCAATATCTGATGGTATGAACCTCTTGTGCTCTAAATCAAGATCGAGTCAAGGGATTCCTGCTGGGCAAGTGCATAGAAATCAGGCCTAAAATACCCACTGATATCTGCAAATGTAAAGCCAGATATTTTGTGTGATGTCACATATTCTAGCTTGAAACAATGTGTTCTTCTTTCCAAACAGGCAAAACAAGAACAAGAGAGAAGTACCGAGTGGTTTACACAGATCACCAGAGGTTAGAGCTAGAGAAGGAGTTCCATTACAACAGATACATCACAATCAGGAGGAAGTCTGAGCTGGCTGCAAACCTCAGGCTCTCTGAGAGACAGGTAGAGTATGGACCCCATGCACCCTTCAGCCAGCACTCCCTTTGAGTCCAGCACTGCTGCAGAGGAGAGAGTGGTGCTGGTGAGGAACTCACAGCTGCCAGTGCCTCCCACACCAAACAGTGGCACCGGGGCCCCTCTGCAGCAGGTGCAAACACCACCTTCACACACAGTCCTGCCCTGAGGAACGAGAGCTAAAGAACACCTGCAAATCCTGCCTGCATTTCCCTCCAGGCAGTGGGAGCAGGGAGAGATTTCTGCTGCCATATCTATAGCAGAAGTCCTGGTTCTGCTGAAGCCAGTGGGAATTCCATAACCAAATCCAGCCAGGTCAGTCAGAGTGGACAATGGGGGTGATGAGCTCAGGTATGCTGAGGACATTTGAAGGTGTTTGTGTTTTCAGCTGTTATTACCTTTTGTTAAATAATTCCTACACACTCGCTACTCCTTTCTCCTGCCCCTATTTCCTACCACCCCCTCCAAATCCCACCTCTGTTCCCAGAAGATAACTCAGTGCACAGTCCTGTGATTCACCACTGTTTTATGGGCTCTGCTGAGCAGGGATAGTCCAAACTCCACCCAGCTGTAGCACTGTCCATCTGCCTTGAACCTGTCTCACCCAGCACATCCTGGAAGAGCTCACAGAAATAGGGAAGGAATTATCTGCTGTTGAGTGCAAGTATTTAATTACTGAAAATTGCAATTATTTCAACTGGGTATAAAAAATGCACCGTGTGTCTTTTTGCTGGCTGTGACAACATTAATAACTTGACTTCACTGTGCTGAATTTGAAAGTTATGGCCTTGCTTCTGTAAACAGCCAATGCCATTTACTTGAAACTTCCTAGTGGTAGTTCCTGATAAACCCTTTTGTTGGTATGTTTGACAAGGTGAAACAAAAACAAGTGATATGTTTCTTTGTCATAGATTGGCTGTTTCCTCAAATGTTTCCAAATATGGCAACAGTTTTTGCCATATTTGCTCTTCTTCATCAGCAATATGTCACAAAATTAATCCCAATGCATAAAACCTCCATCTCTGGTAAGCATGTGATAGATTCTCCCACTACCCTTCAGTACAAATTAAACATCCCCATGGGATGAACATGACTGAACACTGTCCTATCCCAACCTCCACCTAAAACCTGACAGGATTTTCTGCAAAAGCTTTTTTCCTGCCTATGCCTAAATCCCACCCAGGACACTGGAAGGAATAACTCAAGACAGAAGGACAAAGAACAGTCATTTAAACAAGGAAGAAAAGATTCAACATCCAATTAAGAAAAAAAAAAGGCAAAATGAAGTATTGTTAATAAAGGAAGGGTACAGAACTAAAGGAGATGATGAGGACGAGAAAGAAGAGAGAAAATGAGACTTCAGAGGAAGAGATACCTGGAAGAAAGAATCCTGAAAGGAAGCAGGTGAACAAGTTAGACTGATGCAACTGGAGATGCTGGGTTTTAGTCTGGCACTATAG